TATTAGCTATTTTAAAAAAGATAAGAGATGATAGAAATAGCTTATTCCCAGAAATGGAAGCAGCATTGCTGTTGATGTTGAAGTTTTCCGAATGACAAAGATGAATAAGATTAGTTGTTCGCAACTCAAATAAAAATCCATGCAGTAGCCTAATTTCTAAACCTTCCCACAAAAGAAAAACATAAATAAAAAAATAGAGAAAAGTGACCCCAAATAAACAAGAACAAGATCAAACCCAAACCTTCAACAATCATCTTGTTCTGTTTGTTMGTAGATTTGGTTAGAACTTTTATCAAGTGTGGCAAAAATAAAAAATGTTATTAGAAAATCCTTTTTAAAAATGGATTTTTAAAAAAAGAATATCAAAAGTTTCCCTTGGTGTTTCATTACTGCAAAGTTGGGAATGACAGCTCAGATTGTGCAGTTCATATATATATATATATATATATATATATAATTAAAAGGTTAAACGATAAAACATTGGTAATATCAATCCAAAGGCATTATATTATTTTCTCCTAGCTATTGCAAAGTCAACAAAGTAAATAAGTATATCTTGATGGTTTATTCTATGTAAATCAAAGTTCCTCAGTTCGTCTCATTCAGTTTGCTGAGTGAATTCAGGGAAACATGCTGTAAAAATAATAGCTGTGCTGCAGCATTATCACATGTTAAGCTCCAGTAATGGATTAGCCCTAACTCTAACCTCATGAGACTGCATGTGTAAACATTGGCCCCATGCAGATAATTATAGAGAATTATACCCTGGATGAAACACTGATCCCTTTCTTCTTTATCTTTCTGTCTCTGATCTGTTTGGTCTTCCCTTTATTGGGACTTTCCATTGTAACCCACAGCGCTGCTGTGTGTAGCTACTATTTCAGCCCAGCGTTCATCGAAGCACTTTGCACTCAAAATTAAAGAGGAAATTATTGCACAAAATTACAGATGCAGTTCCTTAAACGGTCATCCTGGTCCAGCTGTGAGACGTGACTGGACACAAACTAGATTAGACATTCACATGTCTCCCCTTGTTTGTAGCTGACTCATCCATCTTCTTGCCCTGTGATTGAATCACATCTATTACAGATGGAATAACGTCCTTGTGATTTATTATGAGTTATTGTTATTTTTATATGGAACGTTTCAATGGAAAGATCTCACTTCTAATTCATCCACATTCCTGTTTTCCAGACTCTTAGTTTTCTGTACGTCGTACTTTTTGAACATAGCTACTTCAGCATCTTTTAGATATTCACAAACCGAAACTTTGAGTGTTATGACCTTTTGTAACCTTCATAGTTTTTTTATGTAAATACTGTGATGGACTTGCGACCTGTCCAGGGTGTACCCCGCCCCTCGCACTGTGACTGCTGGATATGGGCACCAGTGACCCACGCAACCCTGAAAAGGAAGAAGCGTGTACAGAAAATGGATGGATGGATGGGATATTTTCAACTTCTTCAAATCTGCGTAAGAGTAAGTTTTCATTTTGTCTTTCTGTGCAGCTTTTACCTTTTAGCTACTGTTCTGCTACAATTAGCCAGTGTTCTACTACTTTTAGCTTGCCTTTTGCAGCTTTTAGCTACTGTTTTGCTACTTTTAGCTAGTGTTCAATTACTTTTAGCTAGCCTTTTGCAACGTTGTGCTTTGTTCTGTTTTTAGTTACTATTTTGCTATTTTTAGCTAGTCCATTGCTGCTTTTAGCTATGTTGCTTTTGCTACTCATAGCTGGATTTTTTTCTGTTTTTTGCCTTTTAGTTCATTAGTAAGTGTTTTGATACTTACTTATAGCTATTAATGTTTTAGTTCTTATATCTGGATGGTTAAAACTCTGCATAACCCTTCAGGGGGGAAAATGTTGTTTCAACTTCTGYACATATTTGAAATGTGTTTTGTTTTGTACTTTTTCACTCCATGTAACACCCTGGAGGATGGATTCATTTAGAGCGTGCTGAAATGTATTTTCTGCATTTTTTTCATGTTTCTATGAAGCCGCCAGGCTGGAGTGGCTCGTCTGTGCTGAGCAGGACTCAGTTCCCAGGAGGTTGCCACTGCTGCCTTATTAAAGCCGGGTTATTTCACAGACAATCAGAGGTTTGTGGAGGCGCCAGTGAGCGGCCAGATGAAAGGCCTGACTCCTCAGGGGAAAAAACTGCCTTTATTTTTTTTTACAGCTCTGCTCAGGATCCCACCTTCTTTTTCCTTCACCTTTTCCACTTCTCTCCCAGTGCCTGTAATCCTGCAGGCATGTTGTCAGTCACAGAACACATTAACTATACCACTTTGCTCCTCTCTGGCCTCGAACTATTTTCTTCTTTTATATTTGATTTGTCTTTTGTCTGTTGTCGAAATATCTCATGAGCCACTGAACAAATTTTAACGAGGTTTGTGGGGAAATAATCACCGGATAAACATCTACAACCTTTTTGGAGTCAACACAAATCAAGATGGCTGCTAAACTTACCTTCAAAAACACAAAAATTGCTTCAACTGAGATACTGACATRAACTAACAGATTAAAATTACAACAAATGTGGCTCTGCAATGTTTACTTAGAACCAAACTGTTCTGACAAGTGGTGTGTGAACAAGTCATGTTCAACATGTGTGGGAAAAAATGCATCTTTACAATAAACTAAGGCCCTCTGCTGAGACCAAACATGTTACAAACATGCTAAAACCTACAGCTACCAATAAAAACAGAAGAAGATATAAAGGAAGGAAGGAAGACGGAGGTGGGGTTCAAAATAAGAAGGGTGCCCTCCTGGGTGTAGCAAAATTACCCACACATCCCACTTCCTTTTTTCCATGATATAATTTAAGCTTGATAATGGCGAAAGCAATTTGTCTGAGCGTGTTTGTGCGTGTATGTCTGCACCCGTGTGTGTGTGTGTGTGTGTGTGAGACAGCTGAGTGTTGAGAAGGTTGTGTGGGTCGGGCACACCTCAGAGCGTTGTAATTACAGCAGCAGCTTTGAAGTGGTGGAATGTTTGGTGGGGATAATCAGCAGGCCGGGCCGCACTTAAATTCACATAAAAAAACTCTCATTCATGCCATCTCACTCGCAGAGTTTGTTATCTTTGTAGAATCCAAGAAGTGATGCGTTCAAAAGCAAACTGTCGTTGTTGACATTTATTTTGCCAGCAGGCCTTATTCTGTAGTTATTGATGTATTTATTAGTCTGTAGCGTTAGCAAAATATCTCACGGACAAGTGGATAAAATTTTATGAAACTTAGAAATAACTGGACGTACATCTACCACTGGTTAGACCAGGGGTCTGCAACCTTTACAATCAAAAGAGCCATTTCTGCTCCTCGGCTCGCTAATAAAATCTGTCCAGAGCAACAAAATAAGCTACAACTGTGATTATCAACTGGTGGTCCGTGGGCCTTTTCACGTCCTTTTTGTGAACCTTTATGGCCAGTGAAGGTGACATAAACCTAAAAACTATATTGTGAATTTGATTATTTATTATTATTTTTACACTTCAAAACTGAAGAAAAAAACATATTCATGCACAAGAACAATACTGACTATAGTTTATACAGAATTTCATAAAAACTAGTACAGCTGAACTAGTCAGACTGTTTTTTCTAATTGTTATTATGTAGTCCTAAAGGTGTTTACAGATAACCCTGATGGATTTGAGAGAAGGATTATAGAAAGAAGTTGTAACATTTCAGACTATCATGAGCTAACATATTTAAT